CCCCTTTCCACCTCTGCTGAACTAACAGCAATTTTCCTGACAATATCTCTAGCTTTTCTGACACTGTCAGGAATTTTGTAGTTATCTGGATTTTTCAGCACATTTTCCCAAAAATCCCTGTAGTCGTTCAAATCAATTTCATAATTAAAAATACGGCCAAATTCAACCAATGCTTTTACACATGTTAGCAGCTGCTGGAATTGTGTTTGCCCAACAGTGGAAAAATAGAGATATGTAAATGAATAAATATTACAATGTGCAGGAATAAATAAATTGAGAATTAAAATCAAGAAGGCTTTTTCACGTGGGATTGGTTTTAGCAATTGCCAACTAACGGAAACAGGAATTAGAAATTCAAAAGTATGAAAGAAAACACCAATTATGTAAGGAAAGGTCCCTAAAATGTATAAGGAAATATTACTAGATCATTATTAATGCTGCGGGACATTACACACACACAGCGGACGTGCGGGGGAGCGAGCGAGCTGCGATGCGCTGGCAAGGGCGCTTTGCAGTGACAGGGGCCAGGACCGGTACCGGCGTTCCCGGAAGTTAATCACTTCCGGGTTCATCAACCAACCAGTTCACAAGAACCGGCGCAGACCGGTAGGAACCCTGCAGGCCCTGCCCCTGCTGCCTCCCAGCTGATCTTCTTTTCCGGGCCACACCACGCCCACAAAGCCACACCCACAGAACCGGTAGTAAAAAAAATTGAATCCCACCACTGCTGCTAACTCTTAATTGTCATATGCACCCAGGCCTAATAAAGATGCTTGAAAGATATCTAAGGATACAGGCCTAAGTGCTGAATTTGACTGGTAGCATGAGATTAAAAAAAACTTGACTTTATGGACAAACCCATGTAACTTTCTCTACAGATGTGGTGTCATTAATTTCTTCCAGGATGTTTTCTCAAGTAGTCTGCAATCCTGGGATTTGTTGGTAGTCTCCCATCCATTGAATGGGTCTCAATAGGTTTAGAACTTTTAAAGATCAGCCAGACTTAAGTAGGTCCTACTGTCTGTTGTGATGGGAAAGATAGAGAGGGGAAATGACAGGTTGAAACATCCAGTAAGCTACATTTTTTTCTTTTTTTAGCAGAAAACCATCCTTTCAGGAGAGAAGGATGAACACTGTCTTTGACTGCCAGTGTGGTAGTTTTCTGCCTGAGTCAACATGCATCTGAAGCCTGAGTGAGCAGCGGCTGGATGTCACCCTTCTCCCACCTGGCACCTTCCAGTTCCTTGAGTTTTTAATTCTCAGAATTCTAAGTCAGCATGTCAGAAGGTGCAAATGCAACACAACAGCAGTATCTAGAAGTTGCCAGCTGGAGAATCTTCCCAAATCATGCCACCTAGAATACAAGGGTTATCACTTTGGGAAGCAAACAGCCCATTTGTCTCTATGCTCCTTTTGCGAAAGCCACTGCTTTTGGCATTGTTTGCAGAATTTGTGTTGTAGCCCGCTTACCCGGATTTTAGAAACCTGAGCAGCTACTTGATGTGTCTTAGCGATTAAAGGAATGCTAACTAGCATAAGCAGAAACTGCAAACCAAGGTTAGTTATTAGCTAATGGTGGCGGGGCACCCGGGGGCTTTATCCAGTTCCTTACCTGAGAAATAAACAACTTTAAAGTTATTTCTTTGTGGGAGGGATTTAAAATCTTATAAAGTTTCTGATTTTTAATTATTTTTAGCATGGATCTCCTTTGTTTCATGTTGTCATTTATCTTGAAATTGTAGACTGGACATATCAGACATTGATATGGTTCCCAGTCTGTCTTAGATAGCAAAGAGGCCTTTTAAGATATGGAGACACCTACAGGAGACCTCCACAATGTCAATACGGTAAGTTTATATTATGTTTACTTTTCATTTTAAAAGAGAATCCTAGGATAGATTTTTATGGTTGGTTCAAGATACAAATACCGATACAAGATAATATTTGTGGTCCAGGGTTGAACTGTGGGGTCCTTGGTGCTCTCTGAGCTTGATTTTTTTCTTGCAGACGTTTCATTACCAAACTATGTAACATCATCAGTTTGGTAATGAAACATTTTTAAGAAAACCATCAAGCTTAGAGGGCTACACAAGGACTACACAAGCTACACATCCTGTAATTCTCCCTTGGTTTATATCCTCTTTTATTGCAATATAAGCTACACTTAATTGATAAAATATCAGTTAGAATTAGTGAATGAACTAATGAACCTCGCTATCTGGAAAAGTCATCATTCCTTAGAGTCAACAACAAGGATTTAGTTCTTTTGAGACCTCAGAAAAACATAAGGAGATACACTGACAGTGTTAGAATTCATGTATATGTGAAAAGGTCTCACCTTATTGGGGAAACATGAATATAATATGATTCACATTTCAAGCAACTCCATGGTGGTACATAACTTATCTTAATTTTCGCCTGAATTAATTCAGAGTATTGAAAAGTGAGTATTATTCTGAAATCAAAGATTCTGCCATAAATGTCATGAATTACAAAATGAAGAATTAAATCTAAGTAATGGCATTGATCATATAGGCTGTTCAGAACTGAGAATAAATTAATTTCCATGCTTTCTAGAAAAGATTCTGGATCTTCTCCATGCTAAATATCCAATAATTCCATTGTTCAGGCATGTTGTTAAATATATCTATTTGGTAAAGCTTAATGTGTTTAATTACTATACACAAAAATGAAATGTATCTGTAAACAAATTATATCCTAAATGAAACACAAGAGGAAGGGTAGGCAGATTTCTGAGCCTAGGCACCACAAATATTCCAAACTGGAATTTGTTCTTGGGGTGAAATGATTCTGCTCCAGTGTACAGTCAAACAATATCCTAAGAAAATGAAGCAGACTTTTTATTTTTTGCATATTTAACCTTGACAACAGAGGCAGAAACAAAAAAGACAGGGTTTTTTTGACTGAGCCCAAGCCGAAAAGCAAGGTGTTGTTTTCATCTTCTCTGCTTTTCCTTTGTTTTAAGAAGATCTGGAAATTCATTTCTCACCACCGTTACTTTTTACTTAACATGATTTGTCTGATAGCTAACAGAAATACAGGATACCCTCCTAAAGACAAACAGCTTCTTCCTCATATTGCACATTTCCACTGATTCCTCTTATGTCCTCCACTTGTTCTATATATTACATGGTACTTTCCAATGCTACCCCCAATGCTATCCCAAGCTTATTTCTGAATGACTTTAATTAAGAAAATAAAAAAAAGTTCAAACAATAATGAAGAGTTCAAACAGTAATGACAAGAGATTCCGATTGTGCATATTATTAGTATAATTTGTATTCTTACAATCCTTACAATTTGATTTTCTGGAGCACTGAAGTTGACTTTTTGATTTGAAATTAAGCTTTGACTAGGGGTTTTCTTCAGTTTTCTTTAATGTCTGATCAGCTTAGCAAAGCAGAAGTTTTCTTTATCTTACAAGCTTGTGATCAGCATGGCAAAGGGTGAAGTTTCCATCCTCTACCAACTGAGTAAACTATATGGGGTATGGCTTCACTTTATTAATTTGAGATGAATGAAATGAGGACAAAGTCAACATTAAAGTACTGACCACAGCACTGACTGCTACCATTCAGGACTCTGGAAACCAAGTCTGAACTGCTATGGTGAGTGCTAGCAACAATATGCAGGGACATGTTAATGTTTGTATAGCAAGATGAGCTGAGATTGATTTTTTAAAAAAGCTAAACCAGATAGTTAACTTTAAGCAATGGCACTGCTCATGCTTCAAAGAATAAAACCCGTTCAGAACACGGAGAAACAGATTTCTGGGGGGAGGTGTGGTGAACTGAAGATGCAAAAGTAGAGTTATCAACCATGGCAAAGAATTAGGAATCGACAAATAAACTGGATCTTTGGAACCTCTCTGGATACGGAGAGGACAGAAGATCAGCCACATGTGCTCCAGAGGCCTGGTCTTTATGAGGCAACTACAAGACTTTCCATGGATTTCAGCACCAGACGACAAGATTATCCATCTTGCTTGCAATGTGACAGCTTTTAAAGGACACTAAATATGAATATTTCACTTACTATTCACTTTTAGAAATTGTCTATTAATCTTTTTAAAGTTACTAAAGATCTTTGGAACGACAAGTTTGGAAAGTCAATACAGTGAATTTTATCTTCAACTTTGAACAAAAGAAGAATTAATCATAAACTTTAAGAATTCGAGCAAAAAGCTAAGTAAGATTTTGATCTAAGAAAGATACAAATGGATTAACATAAATTTGGTTCAGATGGATTTGAAATATTGACTTTTACTATGTAATTTATTATTAAAAATTAAATACATTTTCATGGGAAACACTTATTTTGGCTATCCTGGTTATTTTCAGTTATAGGAGAAGTTTATGATTTTAGAAATAGCACACTAGAGAAGATTAAAGATTCTAAGAAAAAAGAATACAAGCTTATTGCAAGGATGGAGTCATGATCAACATTCAGTAATGATAACTGCTTCTAAGGATGGATTATGTCCAAAAAGTGTTATCTGATAAGACAAAGTATTGAAAATGAACCGTAAAAATGACAGGCTGAGAACAATTTCAAAAAGAATCCACATACATACATACATACATACATACATACACAAAATAACCATTTGAAGTTTTAAAAATTAAAAGGGAAATACAAGTGAGAAGCCAAGAGAATGACCTGGAAAAAAACTTTTTATTCGATTTAGGAAAGAGGCTTGTTAAAACCTTGAAGAAATATGTGCAATGGGATAAGGAAGAATTTAAGAGAAATAAAATCCTACAACAATATTTGGCTGAATTTAAAATTAAGACTGCTGAAAGTTTAGGTAGCAATATAAAGTTGGCTTATTTGATCAAGGTTAATGTTAAGATTTTATTTTGTTTTCCAAAGTTCTTTAGGGACTTTCTGCTGACACCAGGACTGAAAAGCTGACGTTTTATGGATTTGCTTATAGGGAAGGTAAGGGCTGGAAACAAGATGTATGTATGTATGTATGTATGTATGTATGTATGTATGTATGTATGTACGTACGTACGTACACACACACACACACACACACACACACACACACACTGTGTGTAACCTTACAGGGGATTTAGAATTACTAAATGTGTTTATCGTTGTGATGAAGGTTGGAAGTCATTTCTTTATATATTTTTCTTTATGCTTTCTTTCCTGCACCTTTTTTTCCTTTCAATTCTCTTCTCCTTCTCGAAGTGTAATTTTTATTAGTTTTTACTG